CTTCCTTCCTCCCTCCCTTCCTCAGGTGGTGCTCTTGTCTGCCACGATGCCCATGGATGTCCTGGAGGTGACCAAGAAGTTCATGAGGGACCCCATCCGCATCCTGGTGAAGAAGGAGGAGCTGACCCTGGAAGGCATCCGGCAGTTCTACATCAACGTGGAGAGGGAGGTACGTTGGTTGATTGGTTGCTTGATTGATTGCTCTGTTGACAAGGGTATACCACAAATCAATGTTTTTTTTAGCCCTGTTTTTTAATATTTGCCAAAATAGGCATATACAATACACATGTTTGTTGCATACAATGTTATATGTTCATGCTGTTGATAGTCATACAGTATATTTATTTAAAGAGCCACTGGGTTCTGTTATTTTTTTGTCCTGTTTTAAGCAGAGCTGGTTTGAAACTTTTACTGTAGGTTATGCATGAGCCAACCTTGCCCCCCCCCCCTTCCAGGTGTTTTGGACTTCAACAAAGTCCAAAACACTTGAAGGGAGTGCCAAAGTTGGTCCACGCTTGAGCTAGACTTTGCAAAAAGGGCCTATTGTCCAAGCAGTATAGCTTTTTGGAATCTGCCTGGGGCTTGTAGGCCTCAAAAGTGGGCATTTCCTCAACCTGTTCTGTTCTCCGCCCAGGAGTGGAAGCTGGACACTCTGTGCGACCTCTACGAGACCCTCACCATCACCCAAGCCGTCATCTTCATCAACACCCGGAGGAAGGTGGATTGGCTCACTGAGAAGATGCATGCCCGGGACTTCACCGTTTCGGCCATGGTGAGCCTTTTGAGCTTTTTTTATTGCACTCCCTTGTATGCAAGATACTCTGAATATAATAACTTTCAGAAGGGCATGTAAAACCCAAAAAATACAAGGTGGTTGTAACTTGTATTTATTTATAGCAGTTACCAGCTGTTCGGAATTGTGGGGGTTGAAGTCCAAAACACCTGGAGGGAGGGCCCAAATTGGCCCATGCCTGGGACACGGATGGTTGTAAACAAGTCTCCCTTGGGCTATTTATTTATCGTGTCAGGGGCAAGCAGACCATTGTATTACATTTCTAACAGAACAAAACAAACAAACAGATTTTAAAAAACACAAAGTTTGCAAACTTGGTAGTTGATTAAATGTCCTTTGACCAGTATCTGGCTAATTGGAGTGCCTCTGGTGTAGCTGCAAGAAGGTCCTCCATTGTGCATGTGGCAGGGCTCAAGAGTTTCTCATTTGGTATGAACCATTGATTGAGGTGCTGGGTTTGAGCCTGCCACTTTTGGACTCTCGCTTGCTGAGGGGTTCCAGCAAGTGTCTCTGTAGATCTTAGAAAACTATTTCATGATTTAAGTCGTTGATATGCTGGCTGATACCCAAACAAGGGATGGGCTGGAGATGTCTCTGCCTTGGTCCTTTCACTATTGGCTGCTACTTCCCGGCGGATGTCCGGTGGTGCAATACCGGCTAAACAGTGTAATTTCTCCAGTGGAGTGGGGCACAGACACCCCGTGATAATGGGGCAAGTCTCATTAAGAGCCACATCCACTGTTTTAGTGTGGTGAGAATGTGTTCCACACAAGGGCATGCGTACTCAACAGCCCTTGGACTGAGAGGGGCGGTATATAAATGTAGTAAATAAATAAACGTAAAAGTATTACGTTGTGAGCCAACAAGATGTATTCCTTACTTGGCCATGTCCTCTGACCCTGGTGTATCTTTACTAAGCAGATGTAGGCTCAGTGTAAAATACGAGGCACCCAGCCACCGGGCTCTAACCCAGTGTTCCTCTCCTCCTGCAGCACGGAGACATGGACCAGAAGGAGCGTGACGTCATCATGAGGGAGTTCCGCTCCGGTTCTAGCCGTGTCCTGATCACTACCGACTTGCTGGTGAGTTGTCTAGACCGTTGTTGATTTTCTGATTTCCCATCTTGCACACTAGACAGTTTAGAATCACATGGCCTTTTTAGCTGCCGCACCACACTGTTGGCTCAGGTTCAGCTTGGAGTTCTCTTTTACCATCCTTCCAAGGAGATTCCCTCTCTGCCCGGTTGCCTCAGTGCCGTTGGCGGATTGTAGCTCCTTGGCACAGGAAACAGGGGTGCCCTTCTCCACGACTGGTGCCGGGAAGGCATCCGGTCACTGTGTGGCAGCCCACAAGCAGCCATGTTTATATTGCAGGGAGAGGCCTTCCTGCTTATTATATTGAAGTGGCCTTACTAGGCAGCTGGGATGCTATGGATTGGTATCCCCTATCATTGCATCTATAGGCATAGTTGGTATCCATTGCAACATACCCAGGGCCATATATGAGGTTAGAGTAGGAAACGGTTTCTTTTTGTGTTATTTGTGTCCAGGGGAGAAGGGCTTGCTTGTAGAGAGCAGCCTTCAGTCTCAGTTCTCTGTTCTTTTTAGTTTGTGGCATGAACTCCTTGCAGATGGTGCACACTTGGGAGAGGTGTCCTTCTCCTAGGCATAATAGACAATTAAGGTGTGCATCATTATCTGGAATCTTATTTAGGCACGATACACACTTTTTGAAGGAAGTGGTAGACATTTTCCTTTAGGTTTAATATTAGTTTTTAGGTTATTTATGAAGTCTCTGTTTCCGTTGCTGCTTTTAGCAGCGGATTAGAAGAACTGGGTAGTAGCCCCGCTATTGGGCTTATTTATACTGACGGGGAGAGTGGGCGGGGGTACTCTAAATGGTCAAAAATAGTCTCGAGAAAGTCCGTTGCTGCCTGCGCAACGACATATACCAAATGTGCAATTCACAGCTGATCACGCTGGGAAAATAGGGTGACACTGGTGAGGTTTTTTTAGAGAGATATATACACACACACACACATACATACACACATCTGTAGTTAGACATATATATGTGTGTGTCAGAAATATTAATAATTTACTGGGTAATTTGCATTATAAACATATGAGTCAAGCACTGAAAAAGTTAGTAGGCTGAAGCCTGTTAGAGTTAGTGGGCCAAAGCTAGTGTCATCCTGAGGTGTGTGAAGTAAACCTCAGTGTGAGAGAAGACCTGTGTGTAAAGCTACTATGTGAATCTCCTGTGTAATTTTGGTGTGAGGGGAGGCTTTGTGACAGCAAAGACATTTATCTGCATGAGAAAGAAACCGAGTGTGGAAGCAAAGAAGGAAGTATAAAGGACTTTATTTGTGTTGTGGAAACCTTGTTATTGTCAATAGTGCAACTATATTATTTTACTACAAAGAAAAGCCTCCTATGGAAGAGATAATATTGTTCTGTGTGCTTCTGTTCCTTTTATCACTTTGAGCTACTGGTTCTGGGTTACACTCCTACTAATAAGTTACTTTGACGACTCACCCAACCAGGGATGATGGGCCCAGTATAGTCCAGTATAACCCAGTACCAACCTTATTCAGGCTGAAGAAATATGGAAGTGGCATTTCAAGCAAGTGGACTGCCTTTTGAAAGGTTGAATGCCAGCAATTATGCCATGTGGTCATTTAAAATGAAATTTTTCACATAAAGAGACTATTTGGGAAGTATTGGAGAGTCCCCCAGATATAATGCAGGAGATGAAGAAGATGATGACAAGTTGAGGGCAAAGGTTTTATTTCATATTGGCATTCGAGGTCAGCCAACTGCCATTTGTCAAGAATGCCCAAACAGCCACTGAGGATTCTGCAGAAAAAGGGGAAAAAGTTGGAAGACGGCTACGAAAATAATAATACAGGGATGTTTTTCTGGAGGGAAAGTGAGAAGAGAGGCAAGAAGGTTTTGGAAACTTCCCTTCTGTCCATTAAAAAAAATATAAGGAGACCTGGATGTGGGTTCTACGTTTGAATGTGGGGGGCTGTTTGGAAAAATGAAATCGCAGAGAAAGAAAGAAAAAAGAAGGAAGAATGAAAGGGAAGGAAAGAAAGGGACACGTGTTATACATATATGTACACATATATACATACACACATCCAAATATAGAGATATGCATATATGTGCTTATATATATATGTATCCATGCATAAACATAAACACATATCGTATTGTTGCAGGTAATATATCTCGGAGTAAATAAAAGTGACGGCCTAACATTGGTAGAAGATGGGTTGTGTGTTTTCTGGGCTGTATGGCCATGTTCCAGAAGCATTCTCTCCTGATGTTTTGCCTGCATCTATGGCAGGGCATCCTCAGAGGTGAAGTTGTGACCTCACAATCTTTGAGGATGCCTGCCATAGATGCAGGCGAAATGTCAGGAGAGAATGCTTTTATTTATTTATTTATTTATTTATTTAAATGCATTTCTACATACACACATGGCCATACAGCCCGGAAAACGCACTACAACCCAGAAATTCCGGCCATGAAAGCTGTCATATGGTCTGCAGTTGATGGTGGTTGGTGATGGAAGGGTTAATGTATTAGTTCTAGAGGGTTTGGTGATCTGTAACGGGGAGTTTGATTCATCTCTGCCTTGTTTAGGTTTGGTAATCTGTAACTGGGAGTTTGATTCATCTCTACCTAAACAACGTTTCATGCATCCTTCTTTCCCAAAGGGATCAAACAGGGTAAAGTATTAGGTCGCTGGTGGCTTATGCTCTTCCTTCCTCCTCTTTTTAGGCTCGTGGCATTGATGTGCAGCAGGTCTCCCTGGTTATCAACTATGATCTGCCCACCAACCGGGAGAACTACATCCACAGGTGAGTTGTTTTGCCACAAACGAAAGGTCCTTTGCGGTTCCTTCCTTCTCCCTTCAAAATACTATCTTTGCCAGTGCTTTTTGAAACCCTTGGTTCTCTGTTTCCGGGCCTAAGGAATAGAAACTGACCATTGGCCAAGCGGCTTGGGGTGTTTAGGATCCAAAACTCCACCAACTACAATGTTATGATAATAGCAGGCATGGGCAGACTTCGACCCTCTCTCCAGGTGTTTTGGACTTCAACTCCCAGCATTCCTAACAGCCTCAGGCCCCTTCCTTTTCCCCCTCAGCCGCTTAAGCGGAAAGGGCCTGAGGCTGTTAGGAATGCTGGGAGTTGAAGTCCAAAACACCTGGAAGGCCCTGGTGTAGATGCATCTGTATCTGTCTGATTTGATTTGCAGTTTCCTTATCTCTATATACCTGAAGCAGTGGGAGGGGCTGCAGCTCACTTGACTGACTCAGTGACAGTTTGGAGTTCGCGCCGTGGATGGTTGAAGTATATATTTGTATTTGACAGTTATTGCACAGTTATCTTAATCTCTAGCATACCTTACAGAGACACAGTGCGGAGGGGCTACAGCTCACTGGACCTGACTTAAGTTGAGTCAGATCTACAGAATGCTCAAGGAAGGACTAAAGTGTACGCCTACCCCAAATTTGTGTGCTGCAAATAAAAAGTAACTCTATTTCGATTTGTAGCACAGTTTCCGTAACTATCAGCTAATATCCACATGAAAGCAAAGATGGGAGAAGAGGCTTGCAGAACTCACTTGAGAGACTGATAGCTCGCAAGGTAAGCTGATCATGTTTGGACCTCATGGAATATCTAGGGACCCTCAGGACGGGAGGGATGGCCTGGCTGCTGCATGAAGGTATGATCTCTTAATATGGGGATATTGCAGGTTACCATCAAACAATCAGGCTAATCTCTAGTATAACTAACAGCAGGAAGTGGAGAGGGGCTACAGATCCACTTGAACCTGACTTTAGCTGTACTGATTGGTATAGAAAATGGCTCCACAACTTCGACTGGGGCTTTGTTTCTCTCATCAGAAAGACCATGTATTTGATTTTGCACAAGTACAGCCATGTATCTCTAATATACCCCTTGAAGCCACGCAGTGGGCGAGGGGCCTGCAGGCTCACTTGACCGAACCCTCGCTGGGACCGTTTTATTTGGATAGTCTACAATATGGTCCCATGCTATTGTCCATAACGATGGAATGGGAATCTTGATTGACTTCTCTTAAATCAAGGGGATCATTCGTGAACAGCCCACATATGCGGATTATCAAATAAGTCCAAAAACATCTGGAGGGAGGGGACACCAAGTTGTCACCTAGAGTGCAAGACTAATTGCAAGATGCGAGAGCACACAAAAGCATAGGAGATTGAATGTGTTGGGATTTATGTAGAGATGCTTTTGCTGCCCTATGTACTATGAACCCTCACGTGGAACTGCACCATGGTATCGATTCTAATGGGAATTGGACGGAAAGTGTGTAGTAGTTCGTAACGGAACCGAAACGTACAGCATCCAGAAAATTCCATCAGCATTTCGTGCGCAAACCCCAAATAAATGTCGGCCAGTCAAAACACGCAATGTTATCGATATATGGACCAAAATGCACCACAGAGAAGGAAGAAAGAACTATTGGTAAAACGTACCGCACAAAATCCACATAAATTTGTCGAGGATATTTATAATTGTCTATTGGACGTAGTGTTTTATTAAGATTCCCAGACCTATTAACTCACACGAGCAAGGGAGAAACGCAGGTCCAGTGGATACATCACACGAGCAATTATACATGAGCAAACATTCACACGAAATGCCAAGTAATTAGACATACCAAAAAAAGTATATAGACAGACACATGCGTAGGCCAATTTAACATTCCCCAGCTTATTATGCCAGGGCCGGCCACAGGGGTGATAGTACTGCACTTACACCCGTTCCACTTGTGACACCGACAACACAGACTCGACCAAATATTAAACTTATTATAGTTATTAAATGGGCGGAAATAAGGGATTATTTCTGGGCCACGCATCGGCCACTACGGGCCCTGCTCTGTCTTGAGTTTTTGATAAGAATAGGGATATAGTTGTTTACCGATAGTTCAACGTGGTTGTCTGTTGTAGAGTTGTGTGTTAGTATGTCGGGTGCTTTTCAAGGTCCAGATTGCCCGAACCTAAACAGAGACTGATGGTGAGCTGAGTGGGCTGTCTGTAGTTTGAGGACCCCTGGGCAAAGCAGAGAAACACAGCAACTTCTTTCTAACGCTGCATAGGTCAACAGCAAGCTAAACTATTAATAGTTGCGAGCTCACTCCGACCTGGGCTGGCTTTGAACTCATAACCTCTTGCTCAGCAGTGATTTAATGCAGCTGGCTATTAACGAGCTGCGCCACAGCCCAGCACAAAACACCTGGAGGGCCGAAGTTGTCCCAGGCCTGGTGTGTAGTATCGTGTACTTCTCCTTTTGTTATTCTTGGCCAATGGGCTCTCCTTTCTGAATAATAATTAGCTTCCGAGCACAATTCAAAGTGCTGGTGCTGACATAAATCCCTAAACGTCTCTGGTCCAGTTTACCTGTCCGAATGGATTCTCCCCTATGAACCATCAAGGTTGTTAAGATCTTTTTGAAGGGCCCTGCTCTTCGAAATTGCGTTTGGTGGGGACGAGGGACAGGGCCTTCTTGGTGGTGGCCCCTCGGCTCTGGAACTCTCTCCCGCTGGAGATTAGATCTGCCCCTTCCCTCCTGACTTTCAGAAAGCTGGTAAAATCTTGGCTTTGGAATATAGCATTCTCAGAATGATGAGCGAGTCAGTAACTACTGACCACACCGGCGGATGGTGATGAATTTGTGATTTTACTTTGACGACCTGGCTTTTTGTAATTGCGTGATCTGTGTTTTATGTATTAATGTATTACGATGCTATTATGTTTATCCTACTTGTGTATGAATTTCCTGCTGTTAGCCGGCCTGACTCCCTCTTCGGAGGTCGAGAAGACCGAGTTATAAAAGCTCTAAATAATAATAATAATAATAATACTTTATATACTGCTCCATCTCCCCGAGGGGACTCAGAGCCGTTCCCAGGTAACATCACAAAACATACAAAGTATGAAAAACAACATAACCATAAGAATCCCTTTTAATTAACCCTGAGTGTCGTTTGGCCTCTTCTCCTCCTCCTCCTCCCTCAGGATTGGTCGAGGCGGCCGCTTCGGCAGGAAAGGGGTGGCCATCAACATGGTGACGGAAGAGGACAAGCGCACCTTGCGCGACATCGAGACCTTCTACAACACCTCCATCGAGGAGATGCCTCTCAACGTGGCCGACCTCATCTGAGCCTCGGCTGCCCGGCGGGGCCACATCGGTGCCTATAACAACCTCCCCGGTGGGCACAACAAAACACCCCTCGATCCTTCCCACCCAACCAGAAAGAAAACCCCAAATATTTGCCCTTTTCTATTTTTTTTTTTTTGAGTTTTCTTGCCTTTTGAATAAATGTCACTTTTTTGGAGGCAAAAAATGAAATTTATAGTGTTTACTGGCGCTTTTTCCTCTGTCTCTTTCTCTCTCTTTCATTCCTCCTTTTCCCCTTCTCTCTTTTCTTTCTCTCTCTCTCTCTCTCTCTGATTTCATTTTTCCAAACAGCCCCCAGATTCGAACCCAGAACCCACATCCAGGTCTCCTTATATATATTTTTTAATGGAGAGAAGGAAGTTTCCGAAGCTTCCTCGCCTCTCTTCTCGCTTTCCCTCCAGACAAACATCCCCATAATTATTTTTGTAGCCGTCTTCAACGTTTTTTCCCTTTTTCCGCAGAATCATGGTGCTAAAACACTGGGGGAAGGGGGAAACCGCTTGAGAATTTGAAACCTACCTCACAAAGAAGGTCATGGTTTTCTGTTCTCCCTGCCTGGAAATCATTGGTGAAGAAGCAAACACGCAAAACACACAAACACACAAAAAACATGCCAATTTTTCTCCCCCTTTCGACGCCAAGGCGCAAAACCCTTTTTCTCCTTCCTTCCCTCCCTCAATTCCCATTGTTCGTTCGTTAAAATAAAATCGAAAAAAAAAATTGGAAAACTTTTTTCATACAGCAAAAAAAGAAATCTGTGCGTTGCAAAACCTGAAAAAAACCCTTTTTTTGTATAGCTATTATTTATTCAAAAGGAAAAGTTACAGTGACCAAAATAAACGTGATCTTGAGAAAAACAAAACCAAACGGCTCCTTTGCTTTGGGATGATTTGTGCAAAAAAGAAAGAAATATCGTAAACGGAGGAGGAGGGGAGGCTTTTCTGCTTCTTGGTCTTGATTTCAAACACTGCTGATCTGAAACTGGGTTTACGTGTAAGTGGGTTTCGGAATCTGGAAAAAGAGACTTGTATTTGGATAGATTATACATATGTGAGATCGCTTGAAGATGGGGTCCAAGTCTAAACAGTAAATGCATTCTGCATGTGTTAATACACAATATATATTTAATTTTGTGCCTGAAACAAAAATTTTATGTACACGGAACCATCGGAAAGCAAAGGTGTCACTCTCTCCATTTGTAATTTGGGGACATTGCTTTTTGGATACCTAAATAAAGGGAATGTATATTGGAAGAACAGAAAGGGTGCCGGCAGATTGGGAATTCGCTCTAGATCAGTGTTTCTCAATTTGGGGGTGGACACTGCTGGACAGGGTAACGAGGGGGGTTCAGAGGGGTTGCCAAAGACCACCCAAAAACATCTATTTCTGATAGTCTTAAGTTCAATGTTTTCTTGAAGGCTTTCATGGCCGGAATCACTGGGTTGTTGTCGGTTTTTTCGGGCTATGTGGCCATGTTCTAGAGCAGGGGTCCTCAAACTTAAGGCCCGGGGCCGAATGCGGCCCTCCAAGGTCATTTACCCGGCCCTCGCTTAGGGTCAACCTAAGTCTGTAACGACTTGAAAGCACACAACAACAACCCTATCTCATCAGCCAAAAGCAGCCCCACACTTCCCATTGAAATACTAATATATATTTGTTAAAATTGTCCTTCATTTTAATTATTGGATTGTTTTAAGTGGTTTTTGCACTACAAATAAGATATGTGCAGTGTGCATAGGAATTCATTCATGTTTTTTCCAATTATAATCCGGCCCTCCAACAGTTGGAGGGACTGTGACCTGGCCCTCTGTTTAAAAAGTTTGAGGACCCCTGTTCTAGAGGCATTCTCTCCTGACGTTTCGCCTGCATCTATGGCAAGCATCCTCAGAGATAGCGAGGTCTGTTGGAAGTATGAAAAAGGGTTTATATATCTGTGAAACATTCACACCTAGCTCCAGCAGACAAGAGTTCTTTGTCCCACCCTGGTCATTCCACAGATATATAAACCCTTTTCCTAGTTCCAACAGACCTCACTACCTCTGAGGATGCTTGCCATAAATGCAGGCGAAACGTCAGGAGAGAATGCCTCTAGAACATGACCATATAGCCCGAAAAAACCTACAACAACCCAGTCTCAGGATCTCTCTGCCTGTCCTCTTCCTTTTTGAAAACACCCCAAATCTTCCCACCAAAAGCCGTGCTGTGATTGGCTGGCCTCTCAGCCATGGGACTCCCAAGTGGGGAGGGGAGGGCAAGTGTGCTCCGTGCATGGCAGGGTGGTGCACATGTGCAGGCAAGGGAGAGAGTGCAAGGCTGGAGGAGGGCTCATGCCACACAAGTCCATTTATAGTTCACCTACAACGAAAGCATTCTGAACTCCACCAGTGATGGAATTGAACCAAACTGTGGGAAGTTTGGCCCAATTCCATCGTCGGTGGAGTTCGGAATGCTCTCTGATTGTAGGTGAACTATAAGTCCCAGCAACTACAACTCCCAAATGTCAAGGTCGATTTTCCCCAAACTCCATCAGTGTTCACATTTGGACATATTGAGTATTTGTACCAAGTTTGCTCCAGATCTATTATTGTTTGGGTCCAGAGGGCTCTGGATGTAGGTGAACAATAACACTCAAGCTCAATGCCCACCAAACCCTTCCAGTATTTTCTGTTGTCATGGGAGTTCTGTGTGCCAAGTTTGGCCCAATTCCGTTGTTGGTGGAGTTTGGAATGCACAGGTGAACTATAAATCCCAGCAACTACAACTCCCAAATGACAAAACCATCCCTCCTCCCGTCCTACCAGTATTCAAATTTGGGCGTATTAAATATTTGTGCCCAATTTGGTCCAGTGAATGAAAATACATCCTGCATATCAGATATTTACATTACGATTCATAATAGGAGCAAAATGACAGTTGTGAAGGAGCAACGAAAATAATGTCATGGTTGGGGGTCACCACCACATGAGGCACTGCATTAAGGGGTTGTGGCGTTAGGAAGGTTGAGAAGGACATACTTTGTTGGGTGTGGAAAGGTACAACCACAGATCAAGGGGCTTTGGGGGCCTGTGGCAAAGCCCAGCCTGCAAGATATATGTATACATAGACATACCCCACAAATACACAAAAAGGAAGAGGAAGCGTCTGGCACGGCGAGGACAGCGCTGAGAAGGTCCAGAGAATGGCTCCAAGTGACCAGCGTTTCCCAATCGCATTGCGTCAGATTGAAACCAAATGTACTCGCATGAGGCATTAATTCTGCTGCGTTTTGAGACAGAATCCTAGAGTTGGAAGAGACCTCGTGGGCCATCCAGTCCAACCCCATTCTGCCAAGAAGTTCAAAGTACCCCCAACAGATGGCCATCCGGATGTGGTCTCCATTTTTGGGAGCCATTTTCAGAGAGAAAGGCGAATTCTCCATTTTGGGAGGTCAGAGGTTCATCTTTCGCCTGAAGAGTTCAATTCATTTGTGGCTGCCATTTCCAAAGGCTTCCTGGGGGACAATGCCTGGCTCGAGAGCAGTACGTGTGAAAAAGATCTTGGAGTCCTCGTGGACAACAAGTTAAACATGAGCCAGGAATGTGAAGTGGCGGCAAAAAAAGCCAATGGGATTTTGGCCTGCATCAATAGGAGCCTAGTGTCTAGATCTAAGGGAAGTCATGCTACCCCTCTATTCTGCTTGGTTAGACCACACCTGGAATATTGTGTCCAATTCTGGGTACCACAATTCAAGAGAGAGGTTGACAAGCTGGAATGTGTCCAGAGGAGGGCGACTAAAATGATCAAGGGTCTGGAGAACAAGCCCTATGAGGAGCGGCTTAAGGAGCTGGGCATGTTTAGCCTGAAGAAGAGAAGGCTGAGAGGAGATATGATAGCCATGTATAAATATGTGAGAGGAAGCCACAGAGAGGAGGGAGCAAACTTGTTTTCTGCTTCCCTGGAGAATGGCTTCAAACTACAATGGCTTCAAACTACAAGAAAAGAGATTCCATCTGAACATGAGGAAGAACTTCCTGACTGTGAGAGCCGTTCAGCAGTGGAACTCTCTGTCCCGGAGTGTGGTGGAGGCTCCTTCTTTGGAAGCTTTTAAACAGAGGCTGGATGGCCATCTGTCAGGGGTGATTTGAATGCAATATTCCTGCTTCTTGGCAGGGGGTTGGACTGGATGGCCCATGAGGTCTCTTCCAACTCTTTGATTCTATGATTCTATGATTCTATGATTCTATGTGGTTAGATTGGCAGCAGCTCAAAAAGCCAGAGGGAATTTGGGCTGCATCCAAACATGTGCCTCTCCCTTCTGCTCTGGTCAGGCCTCACCTGGAATACCGTGTCCCATTCTGAGCACCACCGTTTAAGAGATATATTGACTCTAAGCTGGAAGGAGTCCAGAAGAAGAGAGCAACTCAAAGGATTAAAGGTCTGGAGACCATGAACAACCCCTCTGAGGAGCATCCCAAAGAGCTGCGTCTGTTTAGCCTGCGTCAAAGAAGATTGAGAGGAGATCGGATAGCCAATGCCATGGATAAAGATGTGAAAGGCTGGGGACTAGGATTCCATGGAGCCATGGGTCCAAATGACGGGAAAGAAAGTAGATTCCACCTGACATCATAGAATCATAGAATCAAAGAGTTAGAAGAGACCTCATGGGCCATCCAGTCCAACCCCCTGCCAAGAAGCAGGAATATGGTATTCAAAGCACCCCTGACAGATGTCCATCCAGCCTCTGTTTAAAAGCTTCCAAAGAAGGAGCCTTCACCACACTCCGGGGCAGAGAGTTCCTGACAATAGGAAGAGCTGTTCAGCAGTGGAACTCTCTGCCTTGGAGCCTTCTGGAGTTGTTCAGAAGTGAAAGTTTATTTTCTGAGCCCAATTTAAGGTGTGGGTGCTTCCCTACAAAGCCCTAAACGGTTTGGGACCACCCAACCTGCGTGACCACATCTCCGTTTATGAACCCACGCGCTCACTTCGTTCATCCGGAGAGGCCCTGCTCGTGATTCCGCCTGCGTTGCAAGCGCACTTGGTGGGGTCGCGAGACAGGGCCTTTTCTGTGGTGGCCCCTACATTGGCAGTCTTTAGAAAGAACTTGAGGACCTGGCTGTTCCGATGTGCCTTTCCAGAATAGGAAATCTCCAATACCAAGTCCCAGAAGCACTTTATTAGAATTAAGACTGCCGCACACTTCACTTGCCCTAGAATGCCTTATATACCACCTGTCACACCAGCACTTTTTAATCCTGTACCCATTACTCTGACCCGGCCCAGTTTTATTGTGTCTTGGTGTATTGTTTATTGCTTGTTGTTTAATATTGCTTTAATTGTTTTTAATTTGCTTTAGGTTGTGTATTTTTGTATTGTGTTTTGAGGCTTCGGCCTGTGTAAGCCGCATCGAGTCCTTCAGGAGATGCTAGCGGGGTACAAATAAAGTTAATAAATAAATAAATAAATAAATAAATAAATAAGTCTCTGCCTTGGAGTCTTGTGGAGCTGTTCAGCAGTGGAACTCTCTGCCTTGGAATATTATGGAGGTGTTTAGCAGTGGAACTCTCTGCCTTGGAGCATTGTGGAGCTGTTCAGTAGCGGAACTCTCTGCCTTGGGGTATTGTGGAGCTGTTCAGAAGCGGAACTCTCTGCCTTGGAGTCTTGTGGAGCTGTTCAGCAGTGGAATTCTCTGCCTTGGAGTCTTGTTGAGCTGTTCAGCAGTGGAACTCTCTGCCTTGGAGTATTGTGGAGCTGTTCAGCAGCGGAACTCTCTGCCTTGGAGCATTGTGGAGTTGTTCAGTAGCGGAACTCTCTGCCGGAGCATTGTGGAGCTGTTCAGAAGCGGAATTCTCTGCCTTGGAGTCTTGTGGAGCTGTTCAGCAGGGGAACTCTCTGCCTTGGAGTCTTGTGGAGCTGTTCAGTAGCGGAACTCTCTGCCTTGGAGCATTGTGGAGCTGTTCAGCAGCGGAACTCTCTGCCGGAGCATTGTGGAGCTGTTCAGAAGCGGAATTCTCTGCCTTGGAGTCTTGTGGAGCTGTTCAGCAGGGGAACTCTCTGCCTTGGAGCATTGTGGAGCTGTTCAGCAGTGGAACTCTCTGCCTTGGAGTCTTGTGGAGCTGTTCAGCAGTGGAACTCTCTGCCTTGGAGTATTGTGGAGCTGTTCAGCAGCGGAACTCTCTGCCTTGGAGCATTGTGGAGCTGTTCAGCAGTGGAACTCTCTGCCTTGGAGTCTTGTGGAGCTGTTCAGCAGTGGAACTCTCTGCTTTGGAGTATTGTGGAGCTGTTCAGGAGCGGAACTCTCTGCCTTGGGAGTATTGTGGAGCTGTTCAGCAGCGGAACTCTCTGCCTTGGAGCATTGTGGAGTTGTTCAGTAGCGGAACTCTCTGCCGGAGCATTGTGGAGCTGTTCAGAAGCGGAATTCTCTGCCTTGGAGTCTTGTGGAGCTGTTCAGCAGGGGAACTCTCTGCCTTGGAGCATTGTGGAGCTGTTCAGCAGTGGAACTCTCTGCCTTGGAGTCTTGTGGAGCTGTTCAGCAGTGGAACTCTCTGCTTTGGAGTATTGTGGAGCTGTTCAGGAGCGGAACTCTCTGCCTTGGGAGTATTGTGGAGCTGTTCAGCAATGGAATTCTCTGCCTTGGAGTATTGTGGAGCTGTTCAACAGCGAAACTCTCTACCTTGGAGTCTTGTTGAGCTGTTCAGTAGCGGAACTCTCTGCCTTGGAGTATTGTGGAGCTGTTCAGTAGCGGAACTCTCTGCCTTGGAGTATTGTGGAGCTGTTCAGTAGCGGAACTCTCTGCCTTGGAGTATTGTGGAGCTGTTCAGTAGCGGAACTCTCTGCCTTGGGAGCATTGTGGAGCTGTTCAGCAGCGGAACTCTCTGCCTTGGAGTATTGTGGAGCTGTTCAGCAGTGGAACTCTCTGCCTTGGAGTCTTGTGGAGCTGTTCAGCAGTGGAACTCTCTGCCTTGGAGTATTGTGGAGCTGTTCAGCAGCGGAACTCTCTGCCTTGGAGCATTGTGGAGTTGTTCAGTAGCGGAACTCTCTGCCGGAGCATTGTGGAGCTGTTCAGAAGCGGAATTCTCTGCCTTGGAGTCTTGTGGAGCTGTTCAGCAGGGGAACTCTCTGCCTTGGAGCATTGTGGAGCTGTTCAGCAGTGGAACTCTCTGCCTTGGAGTCTTGTGGAGCTGTTCAGCAGTGGAACTCTCTGCTTTGGAGTATTGTGGAGCTGTTCAGGAGCGGAACTCTCTGCCTTGGGAGTATTGTGGAGCTGTTCAGCAATGGAATTCTCTGCCTTGGAGTATTGTGGAGCTGTTCAACAGCGAAACTCTCTACCTTGGAGTCTTGTTGAGCTGTTCAGCAGTGGAACTCTCTGCCTTGGAGTATTGTGTAGCTGTTCAGCAGTGGAACTCTCTGCCTTGGGAGTATTGTGGAGCTGTTCAAGCAATGGAATTCTTAGCCTTGGAGTATTGCTGAGCAGTTCAGCAGCGGAACTCTCTGCCTTGGAGCATTGTGGAGCTGTTCAGCAGTGTAACTCTCTGCCTTGGAGTATTGTAGAGCTGTTTAGAAGCAGAACTTTCTGCCTTGGAGTATTGTAGAACTGTTCGGAAGTAGAACTCTCTGCCTTGGAGTATTGTGGAGCTGTTCAGCAGTGGAACTCTCTGCCTTAGAGTATTGTAGAGATGTTCAGAAGTAGTACTCTCTGCCTTGGAGTATTGTGGAGCTGTTCAGCAGTGGAACTCTCTGCCCTGGAGCATTGTGGAGCTGTTCAGCAGCGGAACTCTCTGCCTTGGGGTCTTGTGGAGCTGTTCAGCAGCAGATCTCTCTGCATTAGAGTATTGTGGAGCTGTTCAGCAGTGGAACTCTCTGCCTTGGAGTATTGTGGAGCTGTTCAGCAATAGAACTCTCTGCCTTGGAGTATTGTGGAGCTGTTGAGTAGTAGAACTCTCTGCCTTCCTTGAAGGCCTTTACACCAAGGCTGGATGGCCATCTGTCGGGATCATAGAATCAAAGAGTTGGAAGAGACCTCATGGGCCATCCAGTCCAACCCCATTCTGCCAAGAAGCAGGAATATTGCATTCAAATCACCCCAGACAGATGGCCATCCAGCCTCTGCTTAAAAGCTTCCAAAGAAGGAGCCTCCACCACACTCCGGGGCAGAGAGTTCCACTGCTGAACGGCTCTCACAGTCAGGAAGTTCTTCCTCATGTTCAGATGGAATCTCCTTTATATATTCTAGGACAGTTGTACACTCCGGGGCAGAGAGTTCCATTGCTGAACACCTCTCACAGTCAGGCTTTGATTGTGCTTTTCCTATATAATGGCGGAAAGAGGTTGGACTGGATGACCCATGGGGTCTCTCCCAACTCGAGGACTCTATGATTCAGCATTTGTTTTGACTCCTCCGTGGGTCATTCCGGCCTTGCTCCCACCCTCCCTCCACCTTGGGGTGAGGCTGTGTCCCGTGGGGCCCTTGGGAGGGCCACTCCTTCCTCTTTTCCTCTCCGTCACATGAGAGTCAGGCCCTTGGGACACCGAAGAATGGACATCTCAGCCAGGCATGGGCCAACTTTGGCCCTCCCTCCAGGTGTTTTGGACTTCAACTCCCTCCATTCCCACCAGGCAAGGGCCTGAGGCTGTTAGGAATGGTGGGAGTTGAAGTCCAAAACACCTGGAGGGAGGGCCAAAGTTGGCCCATGCCTGGTTGAGATGTCAGAAGGAGGGTCAGTCTGGATGACCCCTCTTCTGCAATTCCCCAAATGCCCCATGATGTGGGTCTCGTGGCCCTCGGTCGCACGTGGGGCTGGCCACCCATAGGGCTGACTCACCCCTTTTGCGGCCGCGCTTCGCTTCCTTCCTTTTCTGCTTCTTCTGCTCTGCGGAGACGGGAAGGGGCCTCTTCAGTCCCGAGGAGAAGCAGAAGGAAAGCACACGATGGAGGCCCCCCAAAAAGCATGCTGGACCCTTCTGTGCCTGGCCGGGTGGGCCTTGCTGGCCGCAGGTGGGTCCCTCCGCCACTCCACGGTGCCTGGTTTGATTGGGGCAAGAGGAAGGAAATGGGGATGATGGGAATTGGAGTGGGACTGGATTTTGTTCCTCTCCCCCTGCTCCCTGCCCCATATTCCCCAAGGCACAAAGTGGACAGGTTGCTTTATGATCCAATAGAGAGGAAGAACCAGAAACTGTGGATGATGGGAATCAGAGTTTGGGAATGTGGGTGATGGGAATTGGGGAGATGTGTATTACATCCAGCAAGGGGATTTGCATCAGCAAAATATGGGTGCAATGCATTTAGGTTCAATGGGGTGGAACAGGCAGAAACTGTGGATGATGGGAATCAGAGTTTGGGAATGTAGGCAATGGGAATTGGGGACCTACGTATTAAATCCAGCAAGGGGATTTGAATCAGCAAAACATGGGTCCAATGCATTTAGGTCCAATGGAGTGGAATGGGCAGAAAATGTGGATGATGGGAATCAGAGTTTGGGAATGTACCCAATGGGAATTGGGGACATACGTATTAAATCCAGCAAGGGGGTTTGCATCAGCAAAACATGGGTCCAATGCATTTTAGGTCCAATGGAGTGGAATGGGCAGCAAATGTGGATGATGGGAATCAGAGTTTGGGAATGTGAGTGATGGGAATTGGGGACCTATTAAATCTAGCAAGGGAATTTGCATCAGCAAAACATGGGTCCAATAAATGTAGGCCCAATGGGGTGGAACAGGTGGAAAATATGGATGATGGGAATCGGAGTTTGAGAATGTAGGCAATGGGAATTGGGGACCTATGTAATAAATCCAGCAATTTGCATCAGCAAAACATGGGTCCAATGCATTTAGGTCCAATGGGGTAGAACACGCAGTAAATGTGGATGATGGGAATCGGAGTTTGGGAATGTGGGTGATGGGAATTGGGGACATACGTATTAAATCCAGCAAGGGGATTTGCATCAGCAAAACATGGGTCCAATGCATCTAGGTCCAATAGGGTAGAACAGGCAGTAAATGTGGATGATGGGAATTGGAGTTTGGGAATATGGGTGATGGGAATTGGGGACATATGTATTAAATCCAGCAAGGGGTTTTGCATCAGCAAAATGTGGGTGCAATGCATTTAGGTCCAATGGAGTGGAACGGGCAGAACATGTGGATGATGGGAATTGGAGTTTGGGAATGTGAGATATGGGAATTGGTGACATACATATTATCAATCCAGCAGGGAGATTTGCATTAGCAAAATGTGGGTGCAATGTATTTAGATCCAGTGGGATGGAATGGGCAGGAAATGTGGATGATGGGAATCGGAGTTTGGGAATGTGGGTGATGGGAGTTGGGAAGATACGTATTACATCCAGCAAGGGGATTTGCACCAGCAAAATGTGGGCATAATGCATTTAGATCCAGTGGGATGGAACGGGCAGCAAATGTGGATGATGGGAATCGGAGTTTGGGAATGTAGGCAATGGGAATTGGGGACCTACGTATTAAATCCAGCAAGGGGATTTGCATCAGCAAAACATGGGTTCAATAAACGTAGGCCCAGTGGGGTGGAATGGGCAGAAAATGTGGATGATGGGAATCAGAGTTTGGGAATGTGAGTGATGGGAATTGGAGACATACATATTATCAACCCAGCAAGGGGATTTGCATCAGCAAAACATGGGTCCAATGCATTTAGGTCCAATGGGGTGGAATGGGCAGAAAATGTGGACGATGGGAATCGGAGTTTGGGAATGTGGATGATGGGAATTGGGGAGATACGTATTACACCCAGCAAGGAGATTTGCATCAGCAAAGTGTGGGTCCAATGCAATTAGATCCAGTGGGATGGAACGGGCAGCAAATGTGGATGATGGGAATTGGAGTTTGGGAATGTGGGTGATGGGAATTGGGGAGATACGTATTACATCCAGCAAGGAGATTTGAATCAGCAAAGTGTGGGTCTAATGCATTTAGGTCCAATGGGGTGGAACGGGTGGAAAATGTGGATGATGGGATTTGTAGGAAAAGTCAGCACCCATAGATGATAAGAACTTAGATTGGATTGGAAAGGTTTCTTCAATGAGAAGGAACAGCCTGAAGCTGTGGATGATGGGAATTTGGCAACAAAGGAAAATAATAATAATAATAATAATAATAATAATAATAATAATAATGATTACATTAATTATTATTATTATTATTACAATTATTATTATTATTAAGATATTATTATTATTATATTTACAATTATTATTATTAAGATATTATTAAGATATTATTAAGATATTATTATTATTATTATTATTATTATTATTATTATTATTATATTTATACCCTGCTATATCTCTCCCGAAGCAGCCTAACATAAAAGCATACAATCTAAAATATGCAAATATGCAAACATTAACACAGAATTAACTATAAAGCATGCCTCTGAGCATGTCCCGAGTTCCCAGCCCAAGACAACGGGCTTCCAAATATGGTGTTACTTTGACCTTCTGCCGTGCCCTGCAAAGCTGCTTTTTCCATCCCTCCAACCCCACTTCCCCTTTTTTTTGGTTGCAAATTTTCCACCCCAAGGACTGGGCCTTTCGGAGCGGAATTGCTCAACAGTCGGGAAAAGAAACCTCTTCGTCCAAAGCGGAAGTCGTTCTCGGACTGGTCCCATGCTCCAAATTGCCCAACTCTGAGATGTATTGACGGAAACCAATCCACTGATTGACTGATTGATTGGGAACGATCATGTTGTGGTGACCCCCAACCATAAATTTAATTTGATTGCTACTCCAGACCTGGAATTTTGCTCCTGTTATGGATTGTAATGCAAATATCTGATCTGCAGGATGGATTTTCATTCACTGGCACAAAATACCCAATATGCCCAAAATTTGAATATTGGGGGGGGGGGGTGGGGGATTGATGTTGTCATTTGAGCATTGTAGTTGCTGGGATTTGTAGTTAACCTACAATCAAAGAGCATTCTGAACCCCACCAATGATGGAATTG